ACTTCATTAAGACCTTTGATAACTCGGGCTACATAAACATTTTTTGTCATTATTTTAAAATAACTTCTTTAAGACTTTTTAAAACTCGGGTTAGGTAAACAGTTAATTTTTTACCATTAAGATAACTTGTTGAAGACTTTTGATAACTTAGGCTATACAAACAGTTAATTTTTAATCATTACTTTAAATAAATTCTTGTAAACTTTTCTATATTCGGGTTAGTTAAAAAGTTCATTTTTTTTTTCATGACTTTTAATCAATTTCTTGAAAATATTTGTTAGAAACATAACGGTATTTTTATGTTTAATTTTTGTAGCCTCGAGGAGTCTGTACATATTTTTCAAACTTAAAAGGAGGAAATTGTATCCTGAATAAAAAAAAAAGAACAAAATAATTGAAAATTTACTGTTTATTCCTGTACGTACCTTCCAGGCAAAACAGAGTTGTTTCCCTTGTTTATAATTGAATCATTAAAATGTACTTATTTTACAGACGCAGTGATTGTTTGCCAATGCTGCTTCTAAACATGGACTTGGTTCGGTAGGTTAAAAATTAAAACGTATAGACTTACACGCCAGTAAGCTGCCCTGGGGAAAACCTTTTAAAGCTATTGTGTATACAAAGCGAAAAGATGAGACTCACTTATTCGACAACACCTGACGCTTAACTGACAAAGAAAATGTCAAAACCACAGTACAGCTTCTAGCGATCTCTCTGGGGAGAAAGAAGTGTCTATTATGTGTCCTCGGTTAAGCGTTCGCAGTGGCAGACAACGGGAAAAATATTAAGGCCCTGGACAGACTCTATCTTCAAAGAGAAAAGAAAAGACAAGTATTCGGTTGAAGGGTTTTTGACTTCTGGTTTCTTCATGTCAGCTGTCTGTGACAGCAGAAGTTTCTAAATTTCTATCAACTGACATCTTGTTTATCATTACCATGTTACAATATATATGTATATATATATATATATATATATATATATATATATATATATATATATCATCCTAAATATAATACACCCCACACACACAAACACACACACACACACATATATATATATATATAAGTTTTTGTGTATAACAATTGAGGAGCTGTTTGCACAATGTTGACAATAGACGCACAGAAGTCGTGACCCCATTCGCGTCCACATTCAAAAGAGCTACCGCGCTGACAAACTAGAAAGAAGCCCCTTCTTTCCCCCTCTCTGCGAACTACGATCAAAGCGAAAGGAATGATGGAACGTAGCCCCCTAAAAAAAAGATACACAACTGCAAAGAAAGAATGAAAGAAAGAAAGAAAGAAAGAAAGAAAGAAAGAAAGAAAGAAAGAAAAAAGAGAAAGAAAGATAGGAGAAATAGAAAGTGGTAGAGAGAGGAGAGAAATATATTTCAGACAAAAACTGGACGTGGTTTATATTTTGTTTTAGCTTGAATTAAACTTCACCTAAAATTATTTCTTCTTGGATTGTCGGATCGACTATCACTAGCCATGGTGTTCTAATTTCTCAGCAAATTTGACTCTCAAGAACACCAAAGGCGTGTCACAAAATTTCGCGTACAAAAGCTATTAGGATAGAATATTTCCTAATGGTTTTACAAATTGTACAGGAGTCAATTATTAACATTAACAACGAACAATTTTAAATTAAATTACACAATTATACTTGAATTAAACGAAAATTATTTACACTATAATACATATTACTTATGATAGATCCCTTCTTGCCGTCCATTTTGACGGCCCGGGTATACTAGCATATATATATATATATATATATATATATATATATATATATATATATATATATATAAATATTATTTATTTAAAATATGTTTCCAACTCGCGACATAAGAAGTCTCATGTTTCAAAACAAGAGCCGAAAACTTCAATATAATTATTTGAATTAAATTGAGTTAAAGTAAGCTCTGTTTCATCTTCAAGCAAAATTTTTTGGGGAATCAATTAAAAAAACCTAAAAAATGCGAACAAACTGAGAAGAAAACCTTGCGTCGTGGTCCGGTTTTATTGAAACATTGATGAATCATTGATAAGTGTGGAAGTTGTTTTGAATGTCGAGGGGACGTATTTGGGTAGAATGATAATTATGTCAAGTACTTGCAGAAATTTCACAATGACTCTTTCCATATTTAAGGACAAAACCCAAAACAATATATTTTAACTGAATATTACGCAAAATAAACAATGCATATCTCTGTGAGATGTCTAATGTTACCAGAACAACAGTGTCCTGGGTATAACGACAGACTACAACCGGCAGCAAGGCCTCTGATCGGGAGGTTTTGAGAAGCGTGGAACCATCTGTTAATTGCTGTTGTTCCTAGGCCCACTCTAACCTGGTATGGTAGCACCAGTTAGGTTTCCATCTATGGGTAAAATAGTCAACACACAAACTTTGGTCAAAACACTTTGGAAATGAAAAATATATTTTTATATAAAAAAATACCAGCAATACATTTTTGAAAAAAAAAATATTATCAGGAATTTATTTTAGAAAAAAAATATATTACCAGCAATAAATTTGACTGTCGACAAAACCCATCTTTACAAAAATACATCAATGACACCTGATCTGAAAAATGATTTATCACAAAGAATACATCTTCTATTCATACGAACCTATCCTTAAAATCTCGTAGGCATTAAATAACCCATTGAGGTTGATAAACAGTAAAATAAAATAAACCAAACCAACCTGGTTATATCTTTTGTTTATCTTTATTATTATGGAATATTACGTTGTTATTACTTTTCTGACGACGGGCGAGTCCATTGTTACGAACAGAAAAACAGACAGAAGAACTCACACTTTATCAGCATATATAACTAGTAGTACTGATATTCAATGTTGGCAAAGCCTGGCTGCCCTATTGAGAGTTCTATATTTACCTGAAAAGAGACAGGTATAATGTTAATAATTTAAACAGCTCGATAACAATAAACATTTCCATAGTTGTTTATTTAATATACGGCTTGTTATCAACCTATACAATAGTTATTAATGTGTGTTTATTTACATATTCCTTGTCCTATTTGTACTGGGAAGGGAGATAAATCAAATTTGTAAATTTATGAGTTATCACTTTCCTTAATCGTTTTAATAATCTGTACAAATAAAACATCTATTACTATTTCGACAAAATTAGTTCCCTAACGAAATGAACCATTTAAATAATCACTTCCTTTATCCTACGTTTTTTAGATTGCAGTCTAATTTGTTCGAGACTTTCATGTGAGGCACTCAGATAATTTTGTCTATTAAGTGATAGTCTTGCTTTACTTGGTCTTGAAATAGTCTTTGTTGTTCATTTGCTAATATTTTTCTTTCTAGAGATATTTTCATTTCACTGTTGATAAAAGTTTTAACATGAAAATATATGAAAAACGGATTTATATAATACCAAGATTAATCAATGAATCATAAATATCACTGAATATCTAAAATTATAAAAAAAAGGATTAATTAATCGGTTGGTTGGCCTCTATTTTAGTCGGGAATCTCCGCTTTATAGAATCTCAGTAATTTTTTAAAACACTTTGGTTTCATTGTATCTCATAATTAAAACTGTAGTAGAATACAACAGCTGTTGTATTCTGGAACACTTATATGGCTTGTAGTCTACCAACTGGTGTGTCTACCTACATGTATATCTTGATTAGCCTATGAACGTTTCAGTCGATATTCGTTTGCGTAAACAAGCAACAAAAATAAAACAACAGGCATCCAGGTCCCAAATTAATAAACGTGCCTTAAAGGAAATCGAACAATGTTAAGGTTATAATGTCTATTATTTCTTTTTGCCTTTAATGTTAACGATCATTTCTCTCCACGATATCCTGTTTTAACGCGATCGAGCTATGGAAGATGGATTATCTTATATTTACTTCTCCCTTTATGGACATTATTATCTCCGTGATATAACACTGGAGATCACGGAAAGGAACGGAATGGCTGAAAAAAAAAAAAAAAAAAAAAAAAGCAAAGAAAAGTGACTAACATGCTTTATTCATAGAGAGACTTTTATATCACTAAGATACAAATACACACACACACACACACACACATATATATATATATATCTATATCTATATATATTGTGTATATTTAGGCAGAAATTTTTCATTGATGCAGGTTTCATTAAATAATATAGACAAGTTTTGTCTATTTATTTTAAGTAAGTTCCTTTCATATTGTATGATAAGTATAATAACATGAAAACAATAAACAAAACCTTAAAATTCTTGAAGCTATATCCATAAAACAGTTGAAACCTAACCTGAAGAAAATAAACTACGAAATCACCACAGATATCCTTAAATTACTATAATTGATAACAGAAGCCATTGGTTTATACCAACGACTTCCCATACTTAATATTTCTCGTTTTCACTCTCGCGTGGTCATGTGTGACGTCACGAGCTGCGACGCGATTTTCGATTTCGCGTCTCGTATACACGAGTTAGTCGTTGCTTTTAAATTTTTCACGCAACAAACACAGACTATCATTATTGTTTCGTCCGTGTATTGATTGATATATTGAAAAGTAATTGTCATCTTTGATAATGGCTTATGTAAGCCGAAAGCTTAGATCTGTTTAAACTTGTATCAATATGGTGATTTTCTTTCATCTTTCAATGATAATGTTATTAAGCTTATCAGACAATATGAAAGGAACTTACTTAAAATAAATAGACAAAACTTGTCTATATTATTTAATGAAGCATGCATTAATGAATAATTGCTGCCTAAATATACACAATATATATATATATATATATATATATATATATATATATATATATATATATATGATTAACTTTTTTGGCTGCACTTATGTCTTGATAATGACTGAGCTGCTGGATCTTGATATGTCGAGAAAAATCATCAGCTGAGACCTCCATATATCATGCATCAATGGCGATTTCCTTTCGTCTTTCAATGATAATGTTATTAAGCTTATCAGACAATATGAAAGGAACTTACTTAAAATAGACAAAACTTCTCTATATTATTTAATGAAACATGCATCAATATATATATATATATATATATATATATATATATATATTTCACACGGAGAGAATAACATATCTCATATATCTACACAGCAAAAAAAAAAAAAAAAAAAAGAAAAGAAAAAGAAAGAAGAAACAAATATGGAGATAATCCTGTGTCTGAAGAAGCCATGTTTAAGACTCCAAATAAAAAAGAGCCGGATTCATTTATCACAATCGAGGACATATTCCATTCAAAGGGAAACAGTGAGTTTTGGATAACTGAGAACTGAGAACTACGAGCTGGAGTTTCATTGTACACCTAGGAAAATATATTCCCAAAGAGAAAAGGCACAATGGGAAGTTAGCTACTGGGGGAGATAAATTTAGCCTCAGCTTGGCCTCTTGGTCCAGGCTAAAAGAAAGCAACCTCGCGTTAAGGCTGCTGTAAACAAACTGAATTTGACTGCCGCTTTCGTCACTACATGGTGACCTTTCTAAGTGTCTGACATATGATCTACGTGACTTGTCTCCTCCAGATGGTGATGAGCCTTCTCTATTCCTACACTGTATTTTATAGCTATTAATAAATTTTGTATTTTTGCTTCGTTTTGTTCTGTTGCTTCAAGTCTCGTCTTCATCTGCGAGGAGATTGTCCAGTATTCACTGCCATATAGCAGGACTGATATTATGTCACAGTTCAATACCCATTAATTTTAAACAAGCAATCCAAATAAGATGAAAGTAAACTAGAAAATTATTTAAAAAATGGCATTGCTTTATCGAAGAACTACTGAAAACTTCTGTTTGTTAGGTCTCTTTTAAGTTGATAAACAAACATAGTTTAGAAAATATCACTGATAGTTAACACTAATGAGTATATTTATCACAGAATATCAAATATGTTATATCGTTCCAAAATGTCTTCATATTCGTCGTAAACGGAGGAAAAAGATCGCTTGTTATTTTTAAAGCCACCAAAACTAAACTTCTCTTTATAAATAATCTTTGCTATCCATCAGCATGGCTAATGCTAACCTTCAAGAAAGTAACTTCTCGGGCTAACGTTCTCAGTTGACATGAAGTGGAAAGATTATATTGAATACATCACTCGTTCACATGTTGGTTCACTGTGTCGAGCAAGACAATTTTTCCCACCAGAATCTATCTTACATATTTATAAGTCTACTATTCGTCCATGCTTATAATATTGCGTGAGCTGATAACGATTAAAAATATCTGATCATTGATAATCAGAGTCTCTCACGTGGTGTTTAAAACTATGCTAGGTCTATATATTGGAGGGTTTGAGCATAGAATGTAGGCTGGTTCTTTTAGCCGTCTTATTTTCTACTGTTGTTTTAGATCCTATTACAGTGTAACCCGGATATAAGAGAAACCCGGATATAAGAGAAACCCGGATATAAGAGAGATTGTCTCTGGTCCCAAATTAGAACCTGTGTTAATGTATATAAAATAGACCAAACCCGGATATAAGAGAAACCCGGATATAAGAGACTTCTTCTCCGGTGCCGACATCTCTCTTATATCCGGGTTACACTGTAAAGTGTAACCCGGATATAAGAGAAACCCGGATATAAGAGACTTCTTCTCCGGTCCCGACATCTCTCTTATATCCGGGTTACACTTTACAGTGTAACCCGGATATAAGAGAAACCCGGATATAAGAGAAACCCAGATATAAGAGAGATTTTCTCTGGTCCCAAATTAGAGCCTGTGTTAATGTATATAAAATAGACCAAGCCCGGATATAAGACATCTCTCTCATATCCGGGTTACACTGTATTCTGACTTCATCCTCAAGGAGTAACTGTGTTCCACCGACTTATTTCAGTAAATTTAGAAAATATTGTAAAAACGTCATAATGCCAGCGGATGGTTTGCAGATGAAAGAATCAGTGTCTGGGAGTTGAAGTTTAATAATTTTTTTCTTTCCTTTTTTTCTTTACTCTCTCCCTCTTTTCTCCAAAGGCATGCTGATTTCACTCAATTGATAAGTCATGTTTTCGGCATGAATTAGACAAATCTCTCGTAAACTGGTTGCGGGGAGAAAAATTGTTTTTTAATTTTTATGTTTGGCCACTGACCGAATTTTCACTTAGTAATCAGAAAAGCATAACAATAACCACACACATACAGACGCATACACGCACACATACACACGCATACATACACACACAGATCTGAGCATAAACAAAAGAAAATAAAAAATAAATAAAATTTAAAAAAAAAAAACAAAAAAAAACACCATAAACAAAAGGAAGATTCGTGCCAGCAATGATTCCTCGTTTTTTAGCAACCTGCTGTGTAATGACCGACGTCTTCGCAGTTGCCGTCAAATCCTGACTCGGGCCCGTCTGTTTTTTCTACTGATTTCACTGCTCATTTTGACGACCTTTTAAGACTGCCGACAGCGAGAGAAAATCATGACAGACTAAAAGAATATGAGACGGGGTAACAATAACAAAAAAAAATAATAATGGGAATTTCAGAAAGCTAAGTGGTTTTTATTTACAACAATTTTTATGTATTTTTTTCCATTCGATGATTTATTTTTATTGCCCCCCCCCCTTTTGGGGAGGGGGCATTTAGCTCTGTTTACATGGAAAGCGCCCGAAGAGAGAATTAAGTAGAAGTGGGGACAAAAGTAGAGGAACGAAATAAATAAGAAAAGAAAGAAAGAAAGAAAGAAAGAAAGAAAGAAAGTAGAAGAAAAGAAAAAAGAAAATGTACCGTGTCCCTACAGGATATTGGCGATCATGGCTCTCCACAATTTCCTGTCCTTTGTAGCTCTTAATAATTTTTGTCTTTTTGCCATCTCTCCCAAACCCTGCTCCACCATCTATTCGCTCTTCATGTAGGTTGTGCATTGTTTTCCTTCGGCCTGTTTTACCTTCAATCATATTAGTTCTGTCTTTTACAAATTCACATGTCAGTACGATGCAGACTATATAGGGAGAATATGTCAAAGGTTGGAGACACGGACTGACCAAGTTCCCGCCAATATTCGCAAGGGAAAGGTAGGCAATTTACATCGGTTTATTACTGTATCAAGTTCAACGATAGCTGAACATTTGATTAAAAACCAGCAGTCTTATCGCCTAGACATATTCTCAGTGCCGAGTAAGACTAATACTGATTATTAACTGAAGGTTTTGGAATTAATATATATTAAGTCCTACCAACCATCTCTTCGTAAGCAGGAAGAGTGGTTGGTGAGCTTAAAACGTAATTAACATTTAATCTTACATTTGTTGTATATAACATTATTCTGTTTAAATTATATTTAATCGTTTGCATATTTTTTTTTTGCTCTGATGACAGATAAATTTGTTTAATTGTTTTTAATCGTTATATTTCGGTATTATCAATTTACGGTAATAAATTTTGTTGTCACACTTTTTTGTTATGAATCTTCATGTAACATGTCTGTTTTGTATCGCAGTAATACCATTTGTACCCTTGCGAAAAGACTCAATAGATAAGTTCAATTATTGCATTTTCGATTCCTTCTAAAGTCTACTACAATTCTTGACATTTCCTACACTAATCTATGTGCACAGAGTAACTCTCTACCTGCAGTGGCTCTTGCGCCTTGTATTGTATGAGCATTAGTAAAAAAAAGAAAGAAAAAAACGAAATAAAAGAAGAAAGATAGAGGAAAATTATAGAAAATCAATGGAAAGAAAAGTATGACGATAAGAATGAATGAAAAAAACACAAAGAAAGCAGGAAGGAAGGGAGCTAAGAAAGAAAGAAAGAAAGAAAGAAAGAAAGAAAGAACATCAGTGAAGTGAATCTCTATCTATAAAAGGCAGGATATGTGTGTGTGTGTGTGTGTGTGTGTGTAACGAATGCACGGCCGCAATTTTCGACGGATTTGCATCAAAATTTACAAGCACATGCTCCAAGTTAGCGGGAAGGCCAACACCGACTTTGCATTTCCCAACTCCCATCGATAGTGGAAATAATCGATTTTTTGATGCTTCTACGGCAGTTTTCATGTAGTTTACGGCCATTTTCTACAGGCCAGAGTGAGAGCCAATAGCTGGCTGCCACGAATAGGCAGGAAGATTCTATTGGCCAGCGAGAGAGCCAACAGCTGACTGACACGAATGTTAACTAGCATGTTAGCATGCAAAAAAATTCGATAGCTGCATTTGTCACAAGTGGGAAAAATTTAAATCTCCATGGCACTTTAATCCAATTGGCTCATTCGCTTTGCTTAAACTCAACGTTGATTCTGATTCCACAGAACTGGGTTGGGTGTGAAAAAGTATTTGTTGTTAACATTCTTTTTTCATTCGGTTTTTCCAGTTACGAGTCCTTTTTTAAAGTTGATCGTTTTGTGTTCATTTTGTTTAGTTCTTTTTTCGTAACAGATTTAATGTTTAGGATAGAGCTTAGAAAAAATTCGCAGTGTGAGATAGGCAAGAAGTAAGGTATGTAGCAACATCAGCACGGAAAAGGGCACTCCTTTAAAGGCAAGGAAGAGCAAAAATATTTTAAGTCAAGTGATAGCGATTGCTGTATGAGTCGTACGATTTTTGAATCAAGCACGGGCAACGCCGGGCCATGCTGCTAGTCTTATATAATCAGGAAACAACTGCTGTAGGAACGAACAAAGAAAGAAATAAAGAAAGAAAGAAAGAAAGAAAGAAAGAAAGAAAAGAAAGAAAGAAAAAGAAAGAAAAAAAAAGAAAAAAAAAGAAAGAAAAAAAAGAAAAGAAAAAAAAAAAAGAAAGAAAGAAGAAAAGAAAGAAAGAAAAAAGAAAGAAAGAAAAAAAAAAGAAAAAAAAAAGAAAAAGAAAGAAAAAAGAAAGAAAGAAAGAAAAAAGAAAGTAAAAAGAAAGAAAAAAAGAAAGAAAGAAAGAAAAAAGAAAGAAAGAAAAAAGAAAGAAAGAAAAAAGAAAGAAAAAAAGACGTCTTAAGGGGAAATAAAAGAAGCAAATTAGTAATGAAGACATGAAAGAAACAATAAAATAAAGAAAAGCAAACACAAAAAAAAGATCATTTCCTTCTTCATTTTAAAGAATAAAAATTGAACTGGAAATAAAGAAAGACGGATGAAAGAAAGAAAAAGAAACATACGTACCGTGTATGTCCTTCTCGTATTTCGCCTGCTTTCACGATAACAGGCTAAAAAACTCAAAATGAAAATAAAAACTCTACCGCCACAAGTCATGCATGTCAGCTACCAATATACGCAGTTGAGTGAACATCAGAGCCACTTATAATAACATTATCTCCAGATCGAGGCCAAATGATAGTGTAACATTCAGAAAAGCAATTATGATTGATGAGGGGACAAAAGAAAACGAACGAGATGACAGAAAACAGCGGGTGTGAAACCGTGACCCCTGCTGACGGTTCGCTACCCCACAGGCTCACTACACATAATCAAACAATAGCGTTTGCACGGATTGTTTTCTGAGTGGTAAAAACGTGGGTGAGGGGTTTGACTAATATCCTTCAAGATTCTAAGCCAACAAAACGTAATAATCAGATTGGGAACGGATAGACACTTCAGACCCAAGCCAATTCTAAAAAATGGACACTGAAGTGGACACCGAGTAGCGACAGTCTGTTTTATGATTGAACGCAATCTTCAGACCATGTGTGTTTGACATTACCTCGGCTACTATAGTTAACCTACTGCCTAAAACATATGGCCTTGAAGTGTGATTGGTGGTCGAAACGGTTGCGTATTTCTCGCGGGAAGTAGATAATTTTGAATAGTTTTCTGATTAATCATTTAGGATTTACGCAATGACTAGACGAGTAAAATATAATTTTGCTCCTCTTTTATTCGGCTTTTCAATGGTGAACTGTGTAGCCACTGTTACCGTCGGTTGAAATCTATAAAATCTTTCAATTGAAGCAATTTTCAGGACGGTGGAGTAATGGATAGCGACTCGGATTGAAAAATCGGAGAGTCGTATCCGTTACATTCACTTACGTCCTAATATCCTACGGGTAAATAGCAGGACAGACCGGGTTCTATAGCCTTGGACGGCAACGGGTCTACCGCAGAAAAGATACATGATCTTCCAAGCGTGTATCACGCGTGGCACATAACTGACTGACTGAAAGAATAAAAAGTTGCATAGAGCAACAAAAGACTGGAAGTTGTGGAGAGCCATGATCTCTCACTTGTTAATAGGACATGACATATAAAAGATACATGATCGTCTAAGCGTGTATCACGCGTGGCACATAACTGACTGACTGAAAGAATAAAAAGTTGCATAGAGTAACAAAAGACTGGAAGTTGTGGAGAGCCATGATCGTTAACTTTTTAAAAGGACATGGCATATAAAACATACATGATCGCCTATGCGTTTATCATGAACGGCACATAACAGACTGATTGAAGTTTCTCATGTCCACTAATTGTTATCGCTCTTTCAAGTATTGACGAGGTCTTCCTCCCTAACCTTTTGTTTGCCATATTTACGATAAAATATAATAGACATACATAAGTACATATATATATATATATATACACACACACACACACACATATATATATATATATATATATATATATATATATATATATATTCATGTATATGTATACATAAATATATAGTTGCGTCTATTATATTAAGCCCAAAATTGAATAGCTTTTATCATCTTCCCAAACCAAAACACACTATTACATAAGCGATATAAACAATTTTTTACTACGTTAATAAAAACACCGATTACAATAATAAATAAATATATAAGATAAGAAATAAAAATAAAAAGATAAAAATAAAAAATAAATAAAAACAAGCAAAATAATTTAACCCAAATAAATAAATAAATAAACGACTTCCGTTAAAATACCCGCCAAAATAGACTACCCACAATGCACCACTGACACGTATATATAAATAGCCGAGAAAAATAACAGCACTCGTGGCCTGACGATTGCATCTAGCATGAAACAGACTGTCGCCTCTAAGTGTTGAATTCTATGTTCACCTTTATATTTACACACGCTCTATCTCTGATATTGAGCACTTTATCCCATAAATATAGCACATCTTAAGACTATATTTCTTCATATATATATATATATATATATATATATATGAAAGGGTGAAATTTTATCAACATTGTCGATTTGTCGGGAAGGTAATTTCTTGTTCTCAAATTTAAAAGTCTTGATAAACCAACATCTTTCGCTTTGTATATAAAACCGAGCAACAAAATAAATCTTTACATTTGCCTTGATAAAGAACGCAAGAGGATGAAACGCGAGGGGTAAGAATAGTTTTTCCTCTTCGCTTTTTATTCATTTTGTTCCTTTACAGACATAATGTATCTGAAAATAATTTACACACACACACACAGACACACACAGACACACAGACAGACAGATATATATATATATATATATATATATATATATATATATATATATATATATATATTGCATGTTTCATTCAATAATATAGACAAGTTTTGTCTATTTTAAGTAAGTTCCTTTCATATTGTCTGATAAGCTTAATGACATTATCGTTCAAAGACGAAAGGAAATCCCCATATTGATACATGTTTAAATCTAATCTAAGATTTCGGCTTGCACAAGCCATTATCAAAGATGACAATTTCAATAAATCAAACAACACACGGACGAAACAACAATGATAGTCCGCCCTTGCTGCATGAAAATTTCCAAGTAATGACAAACTCGTATATACGAGACGCGGAAGCGAAAATCGCGTCGCAGCTCGTGACGTCACACATAACTACGCGAGAGTGAAAACGAGAAGTATTAAGTAAGGGAAGCCGTTGGTATAAACCAATGGCTTCTGTTATAAATTATAGGCATTTAAGGATATTTGTGGAGATTTCATTGTTTATTTTGTTCAGGTTAGGTTTCAACTGTTTTATGTATAAAGCTTCAAGAATTTTTGGTTTTTGTTTATTGTTTTCATGTTAAATATAGTTGTATTGTCAACAAGGATTTTCCAAAATTGAGCACGCGGTCAGGCATATATATATATATATATATATATATATGTGTGTGTGTGTGTGTGTGTGTGTGTGTGTGTGTGTGTGTGTGTGTAGCGGAATATGCGTGTATGAACGAAGAATAAGGAATCTTCAAACACAAATCTACAATTTTCAAAAAATTTTATTTATTTGTGTATTAATTTTCCTTCAAATTGAAAGAAGTTAATTACAAAGATTTTGTGCGAATAACTTAACACAAAATATTTTGGGTAACATTTGCTTGCAGTACAACTGAATGAATTGCGTTAGTATAGGATAAATGGAAAATGTGTCTATATATGTGCAGATCGATGACACAGGCTTACATTGTTTTCACGCTCTGTATGAAATTCCAGCAGTAAGCCGCATGACATTAAGGCCGGAAATTAGTTGCTACTGTCTTCGCATGTAAGCTCGGTAATGGAATGTCATCTCTATCTCTAAACATTATTTGTAATATTGTATACACGAATAAAGATGACATCGATGTGAGTAATTAATTGTGTGTGAGAATTTCCGTTTCGTCCGTGTAACGAACGATCGATCAAACACCCTGGTCAAAGGTTCACTGAAAGACTAGTTAGCAAACAAAAATTGATCATATTTATAATAAAATAATGTGTAAAATTTAGACTGATTAATGTCAAGCTTATTGGCTAATATATATTTTCGCACTTGTTAAATATTCTTTTTAAGGAAGAAAATTATTGGTGATCATATCCTGAAGTTGAACCTCCAAAATTTCATTTTTACGAGATATTTTATCGTCTGTCGATTCAAAGCAAGCTGCGCGTCTCTTACGACGTAACTGGGTGGTCAATATATATGAATACAAAAATTCAAGTGACTGGAGCCTGCCAATGTGCAAATAATGTGTTAATTATATGTATTAGTATTTTTATACACTTCTGAAATGGGGCACTAAACAAACGCACACGCGCGCGCACATACACACAGCGAGAGAGCGAGAGAGATAGAGATAGAGAGAGTCTTCTAAACTATGATAAACAATGCCTGGAAAGATATAAAATAGCAGTATTTACATTATTCGGACAACAGTATTTACATTATTCAGACTATTGTCCTCATCTTTATCGCCAAATATGGCGACAAAGATGAGGACAATAGTCCGAATAATGTAAATAGTGTACATAATACCTCATCTCAGAAATATAGACAGATACTGAAAGGCCGAAACGTTGTAATAAATATGGCGACAAAGATGAGGACAATAGTCCGAATAATGTAAATAGTGTACATAATACCTTATCTCAAAAATATAGACAGATACTGAAATGCCGAAACGTTGTAATAAATATGGCAACAAAGATGAGGACAATAGTCCGAATAATGTAAATAGTGTACATAATACCTTATCTCAAAAATATAGACAGATACTGAAATGCCGAAACGTTGTAATAAATATGGCAACAAAGATGAGGACAATAGTCCGAATAATGTAAATAGTGTACATAATACCTCATCTCAGAAATATAGATAGATACTGAAGGGCCGAAACGTTGTAATAAATATGACGACAAAGATGAGGACAATAGTCCGAATAATGTAAATAGTGTACATAATACCTCATCTCAGAAATATAGACAAATACTGATAGGCCGAAACGTTATAATAAATATGGCGACAAAGATGAGGACAATAGTCCGAATAATGTAAATAGTGTACATAATACCTCATCTCAGAAATATAGACAGATAAAATAGCAGTGACAACAAACTTTTTAAACCGAGACTACCAAAATTCCTCTTTCCAAAAATATTTCTATGCGAGCTAAAACTCCGTATAAGCAAATAAAATTATTCTTACAAAAAATACACGACTCCAGTAATAAAAATACAACAACACAAAATATCAATATATTTTATTGCAACCAGATGCACAATAACTATAATTAGGGCGAATTTGCTATAAGCAAAATAATTAACACCATATTTCTGCTGTAATCCCTGAAAAACAT